CTTGTAAGGTATCTTTGGTAGTGACCTTCTTTTGTGTCTCGAGGTCGAATATGTCGTCCAACAGAATTTCCAACTCTACTTTTCGGGCCATCTCACTCGGTCTGGACATAACGTGACAGTTTATGCCCAGATTTAGGAGAGTGACTTGGTCCTCAGTGAGGTTAATTCCTGCAAGGTTCAGGAAGCCATCTCTTGGTCGTGGAATTGCCATAGGTCCTCCATATAATGTTGTTAGTTTCTTGATAATCCTTGTTTCAGTGCTGAGGTGATGTCGGTCTGTGAGGATGTCGAGGTGTTGTTCAATGCGAGTACGGATACTTTCGTCGATGTTGCTATTTCTCCACTCGTTTGTAGCATGAAGTAGTTGCGTTTTGTTGTCTTTGATTTCATTCTCAGCCTTGTATATCTGATCACGAATCAGATCCTGGCGATATTTTATCGTGAAGGCTTGATTCCTTGCTGCTGGGTCGTGCACTTTAATATTAGTATATTTTGGTAGCAGTCTTTCCTGTAGACATATATTATTAAATATGACCGAAAAAGTAAGATTAATAATTCTAACACGAATTTTCTCAATCTTTCGTACATTTCTTTTCACTGTTGGAGGTAAATCAAAAATCAATTCTCCAAAATTCATTTTTATTTCTAGTCTGACGCGACACGAGCGCGTTTCGTAAAACTTACTACATTTTCAAAGACTTTTAGTTTACAAATACAAAACTGAATAGAACTTACACATCTCCTGGTTTCGTTTATATCTACATTTGAGTGAGGTGGATGGGGTGAGGTGGCATTAATAGGCCACCTCATAATAATATATATATATATATATATATATATATATATATATATATATATATATATATATATATATATATATATATATATATATATATATATATATATATATATATATATATATATATATATATATATATATATATAATGTGTGTGTGTGTGTGAAAAAAATTTAGGGTCTTATCTTTGATTGCCCTGCTAACATATTTCATAATTTCCTTTAGCTTTCATGTTCTTTTTTTAAACATTAGTGGTGGCAGGCAACAAGTCACACGGCTGAAACATTAGACACAAAAAACCACAGATTTCCAAATAATATAACTGATGAGGTTTCGGTCTTTCCTGAATCATTATCAAGTCGTGAAATGACTTGTCTGAATTTATTTCTGGTCCGAAATTATTTATGTCTTAGATATAAGGGGCATAACTGGCCGACCCCTCACAGTGTTCAAGAGAGAACTGGATAAGCACCTCCAAAGGATACCTGATCAACCAGGCTGTGACTCATACGTCAGGCTGCGAGCAGCCGTGTCTAACAGCCTGGTTGATCAGTCCAGCAACCAGGAGGCCTGGTCGACGGCCGGGCCGCGGGGACACTAAGCCCCGGAAGCACCTCAAGGTAACCTCAAGGTAGGTAGGTAGACTGACATTCCCTTCTTGATTTCGTTTGTCTATAGCTTTATTTTATCGATGAAGTTCTTTAATGCCATGTTATATGTTTTTTTAATCTCTTAAAAAAAAGACTTTTAACTCCTGGTATTGCCTAACTCCTGGCAATATCTAATTCCTGGGATTACCTAACTAATATGATGTCATTACTTATCATCTTGAACCACTATATATCTGAGGTTGACGATGGCAGGTTACATTTGTGGCTGAGAAAACTAAGCCGATGATCATAACAAGAGAGCAAGAGAGTGCAATTGGGCACGTTCACACAGATGAACGGCAATTGCTGGTTATAGTTTGATATTGTAATGACTCTGAAGAGTCAGGTGTTGAGCCTAGCAAGCAAGGTCGACAAAAATCTTGCAGCCTAAAAACAGATATCCCATTATCTTGATAGCAAAACTTTTATTTATTTTTTCCCCCAAGCACAAGTTTTTTCCTATCATGAGTGTGCACTGTGACCTCCTGGATGGTGTCCACTCATCGTTTAGCCAAATTGTGGACCTGGTAGAGAATTATGCGAGAGGACTCGTCTCTAGTCTTGACGTGTTGTGGTTGAACTTGTCAGCGTATTATAGAGCTTTCAAGACCAGAGAGTTGTTGGTAACCTTACTGTCAGGCATGAGGGCAATGTTCTCAAGAGTCCTCATCTGGTGGAGCTTTGTGGGAAGCAAGCAGACCTTGGTTGCCACAGCACAAGACAGTCGACAAGCAACAGCCTCAAGCTGGCTGTGTCATTCTCCAAAACATCACTCAACCAGCAATCATGCATTCCTAGCTTGATGCATTTAAATTAAAACACATTCACCCACTCCGTTAATACGTGTGAAATCGGGTCAGGCTACCATATGATGATTCTTACCTTGAGGTGATTCCGGGGCTCAGCGACCCCGCGGCCCTGTCGTCGACCAGGCCTCCTCGTTGCTAGACTGGTCAACCAGGCTGTTGGACGCGGCTGCTCGCAGCCTGACGTATGAATCACAGCCTGGTTGATCAGGTATCCTTTGGAGATGTTTGTCAAGTTTTCTCTTGAAGATTGTGAGGGGTTGGCCAGTTATGTCCCTTATGTGTAGTGGAAGCGTGTTGAACAGTCTCGGGCCTCTGATGTTGATAGTTCTCTCTCAGAGTACCTGTTGCACCTCTGCTCTTCAACGGTGGTATTCTGCACTTCCTGCCATGTCTCTTGGTCTCATGTGGTGTTATTCCTGTGTACAGGTTTGGGACCAGCCCCTCTACTATTTTCCACGTGTAAATTATTATGTATCTCTCCCGTCTCCGCTCAAGAGAATACAGGTTTAGGCTCTTTAGTCGGTCCCAGTAGTTTAGATGTTTTACTGAGTGGATTCTAGCAGTAAAGGATATCTGGATTAGAGATTCTTGATTAGAGATTAGAGATAAAGGATTCTTGCTCCCAGTTGGCTCACGCTTCATCCGGAATCTTATATTACTGTAACTTAGCACTAAATGATGTTTATTCCCAATGAAACTAATAAACTCATTACATAAAGTATCTTCTAAGTTTAAGCTTCAAATGAGCTGAAGCGGAATAACAGCTCACATAGCTCCCAGGTTCAGTTAGAAACATCAACACCATTCTTGACCACAGTTCAACAACAATTTTTGGTGAAAGAAATAGGTTTGGTGGGACAGGAGGGGGGAAGGGGTAGGAGTAGGAAGAAGAGGCAGGAGATAGAAGGCAGCTCATCAGTTTCCGGGGAAGGCAGCCTCGCGCAGGATGACTGACAACTCGGGAAGGAAAAATTTCACGGCGCGTTAGAGCCGCCGCCATGCCCCCGCGGGTCCCCGAGGGCGCCGAAGGACGGGCGGCTTGCGACCTTACGGCGCCCCGGGTGTAAGGGCGGTAATGTGCGGGCGCGGGCGCTGTGCTTGGACACCCGTTGCCAGGAGCGGGTCAGATTGGCCGAATTTGTCATTTCATCGTACATTCATTTACAGTATAATGGTCTGGGTGACAATACGATGCATTAACTGACCAAACTCCCTCACAAAGACCCATTGTTTTCCTTTGATCCATCAGGAAGACCACGGCAAAAATTCAGGATGATGTCCGATTCGTCTGACTTTCGACTTCGTCTCTTGCTGGTCTGAGACGTTTGCATTCATTTGAAGATTTAAAAAAAAAAGTGTAAATAAGAGATAAGGTAGTTTTCGTGCGGTTGTTTTGTGAGCTCTCTCGTTCTGATTAGTTGTGCGGTAATGATGTTTGTTGTGTGTGGTATTTGAGATGGTTTATGCTAATCGAAAGTCTGGGTCAGAGGCAGGTGCGCGGACAAGTTGATGGCCGTTACGGTGCTGCCAGGCGATGGTACCGATCCTGGCACCCGCTGCCTCCTGCTGCTGCTGCTACTGTTGTTGTTGTTGTTGTTGTTGTTGTTGTTGTTGTTGCTACTGTTGTTGTTGTTGTTGTTGTTGCTACTGTTGTTGTTGTTGTTGTTGCTACTGCTGTTATTGTTGTTGTTGCTACTGCTGTTATTGTTGATGTTGTTGTTGTTGTTGTTGTTGTTATTGTTGTTGCTACTGTTGTTGTTGTTGCTACTGCTGCTGCTACTACTGCTGTTGTTGTTGTTGTTGTCGCTACTGCTGTTGTTGTTGTCGCTACTGCTGTTGTTGTTGTTGCTACTGCTGCTGCTACTACTGCTGTTGTTGTTGTTGCTACTGCTGCTGCTACTACTGCTGTTGTTGTTGTTGTTGTCGCTACTGCTGTTGTTGTTGTTGTTGCTGCTGCTATTGTTGTTGTTGGGCAGAGAGCAAGAGTCTCAGTTCACCTCAGTTGTATAGACGTGGTGGTAAGAGTGACATGGTCCCCAGATGGGCTCCATGGTGTACTACGAGGGAGAAGAGTTTCTAGATACGATAACATGATTATAACGTCATATTTATGGCACTAGGGAATGATACCTGATGCTGGACACCAGGTTTGAGTTGGCAGTGTCTCGGTAAAGACCTGGTCACTGCACCTGCTGGCAGGCCTGGTCGAGGACCGGGCCGCGGGGGACGTTGAGCCCCGAAATCTTTCGTAAGGTCGCATGGCATCTCCAGTCTACAAGGTTGAGCCTCCAGCGTGCTCAGGTGCGGGCAGGTGTAGTCCACGGGGCTACCTTGAGGCTACCTTGAGGTGCTTCCGGGGCTTAGTGTCCCCGCGGCCCGGTCGTCGACCAGGCCTCCTGGTTGCTGGACTGTCTCAAGGCCAAGCCTCGGATGAGTGACGGTGTTTATACGAAATCAATGGTTATCTTGAGATGATTTCGGGGCTTTAAGTGTCCCCGCGGCCCGGTCCTCGACTAGGCCTCCACCCCCAGGAAGCAGCCCGTGACAGCTGACTAACACACAGGTTCCTATTTTACTGCTAGGTAACAGGGGCATAGGGTGAAAGAAACTCTGCCCATTGTATCTCGCCGGCGCCCGGGATCGAACCCGGGACCACAGGATCACAAGTCCAGCGTGCTGTCCGCTCGGCCGACCGGCTCCCTACTGGTAGTACTGACGCCATTCATTCATAACCACATGACTTCTCATTCACAATTACCCTCGTTCTCACTAACGTCCTCGTTCTCACTAACGTCCTCGTTCTCACTAACGTCCTCGTTCTCACTAACGTCCTCGTTCTCACTAACGTTCTCGTTCTCACTAACGTCCTCGTTCTCACTAACGTCCTCGTTCTCACTAACGTTCTCGTTCTCACTAACGTTCTCGTTCTCACTAACGTTCTCGTTCTCACTAACGTTCTCGTTCTCACTAACGTCCTCGTTCTCACTAACGTTCTCGTTCTCACTAACGTTCTCGTTCTCACTAACGTCCTCGTTCTCACTAACGTCCTCGTTCTCACTAACGTCCTCGTTCTCACTAACGTTCTCGTTCTCACTAACGTTCTCGTTCTCACTAACGTCCTCGTTCTCACTAACGTTCTCGTTCTCACTAACGTTCTCGTTCTCACTAACGTCCTCGTTCTCACTAACGTCCTCGTTCTCACTAACGTTCTCGTTCTCACTAACGTTCTCGTTCTCACTAACGTATAGCCTTTCTCTTGACAGGTCTCTTCCCAGAGTTCGTATGACACCATCAGGAGACAAGTTTACCATGTTTATAGCTTTGGCACTCTGTACCAAACTTTGGCACTCTGTACCAAACTTTGGCACTCTGTACCAAACTTTGCCACTCTGTACCAAACTTTGGCACTCTGTACCAAACTTTGGCACTCTGTACCAATCTTTGGCACTCTGTACCAAACTTTGGCACTCTGTACCAAACTTTGGCACTCTGTACCAAACTTTGGCACTCTGTACCAAACTTTGGCACTCTGTACCAAACTTTGGCACTCATAAAAGGTCTCAAGTCTTTTATACCTAATTACCCGCTTCACCTTGGTGAGTCCCCCCCCCCTCCCTGTCGCGGCGTCCAAGATGGCGGCATCACTCGGGGAGCTGTCTCCAAGATCAATAAGGTTTCCTTGACCTTGCAACACGACCTTTTTTTTAATGTTGCACATTGTGCAGTAGTGGTGTTGTTTAAGATTCAGCTACTGGGAACTAAAAGTTCCAAGTAGCACGGGCTATGGAGAGCCCGTGATGGACTTACCTGGCGCAGGAGCGGGGCTGAAACTGGCAGTAGTGGTGGTTGATAGTAACGTTTGTAGGTGGCGGTGGTTGAGGTGATGGAAGTGATGGTGGTAGTTATGGTGATGGTGGTAATGGTGGTGGTGATGATAGTGATTATAGTGGTGCTAGATAGAGGTGCTAGTAGTTGAGGTGGCAGCTGTAGTGGTGACTATACCTGGAGTTTACCTGGAGCATAACAAGAGTTTACATGGAGTATAACGGGAGTTTACCTGGAGCATAACAGTTTACCTGGAGCGTAACTAGAGTAGGTTCTGGGAGTTCTTCTCCTCTCCAAGTCCGGCCTGGGGCCCCTGGCTGACACGTCTTAGCTTGATCCAACAGGCTGTGGTGCTGGGGGCGTGGAAAGGGGTGACGACCCCACGCTGGTCATGTATAAGACGTGGTTAGGACTCCTGCAGTCTCACAAGGTTAATTAGGTAGTTAAGTTTCTGCCACAGACGAAGCTATCCTTTACCATAGCTCAGCATATATATGTATATATATATATATATATATATATATATATATATATATATATATATATATATATATATATGTCGTACCAAGTAGCCAGAACGCACTTCTCAGCCTACTATGCGAGGCCCGATTTGCCTAATAAGCCAAGTTTTCCTGAAATTATATATTTTTTCAATTTTTTTCTTATGAAATGATAAAGCTACCCATTTCATTATGCATGAGGTCAATTTTTTTTATTGGAGTTAAAATTAACGTAGATATATGACCGAACCTAACCAACCCTACCTAACCTAACCTATCTTTATAGGTTAGGTTAGGTTAGGTAGCCAAAAAAAGTTAGGTTAGGTTAGGTTAGGTAGGTTAGGTAGTCGAAAACACATTAATTCATGAAAACTTGGCTTATTAGGGAAATCGGGCCTTGCATAGTAGGCTGAGAAGTGCGTTCTGGCTATTAGGTACGACATATATATATATATATATATATATATATATATATATATATATATATATATATATATATATATATATATATATATATATATATATATATATATATATATATATATATATATATATATATGTCGTACCTAGTAGCCAGAACTCACTTCTCAGCCTACTATTCAAGGCCCGATTTGCCTAATAAGCCAAGTTTTCCTGAATATTATATTTACTAAAAAATTTTTCTTATGAAATGATAAAGCAACCAATTTCTCTATGTATGAGGTCAATTTGTTTTATTGGAGTTAAATTAACGTAGATATATGACCGAACCTAACCAACCCTACCTAACCTAACCTAACCTATATTTATAGGTAAGGTTAGGTTAGGTAGCCAAAAAAGCTAGGTTAGGTTAGGTTAGGTAGGTTAGGTAGACGAAAAAACATTAATTCATGAAAACTTGGCTTATTAGGCAAATCGGGCCTTGAATAGTAGGCTGAGAAGTGCGTTCTGGCTATTAGGTACGACATATATATATATGTCGTACCTAGTAGCCAGAACTCACTTCTCAGGCTACTATTCAGGCCCAATTTGCCTAATAAGCCAAGTTTTCCTGAATTAATATATCTACGTTAATTTTAACTCCAATGAAAAAAAATTGACCTCATACATAGTGAAAAGGGTAGCTTTATCATTTCATAAGAAAAAAAGGTTATAGTTAAATATATTAATTCATGAAAACTTGGCTTATTAGGCAAATCGGGCCTTGAATAGTAGGCTGAGAAGTGAGTTCTGGCTACTAGGTACGACATATATATATATATATATATATATATATATATATATATATATATATATATATATATATATATATATATATATATATATATATATATATATGTCGTACCTAGTAGCCAGAACGCACTTCTCAGCCTACTATGCATGGCCCGATTTGCCTAATAAGCCAAGTTTTCCTGAAATAATATATTTTCTCTAAATATTTTCTTATGAAATGATAAAGCTACCCATTTCATTATGTATGAGGTCAATTTTTTTTCATTGGAGTTAAAATTAACGTAGATATATGACCGAACCTAACCAACCCTACCTAACCTAACCTAACCTATCTCTATAAGTTAGGTTAGGTTATGTAGCCGAAAAAGTTAGGTTAGGTTAGGTTAGGTAGGTTCGGTAGCCGAAAAACAATTAATTCATGAAAACTTGGCTTATTAGGCAAATCGGGCCTTGCATAGTAGGCTGAGAAGTGAGTTCTGGCTACTAGGTACGACATTTATATATATATATATATATATATATATATATGTCGTACCTAGTAGCCAGAACTCACTTCTGAGCCTACTATGCAAGGCCCGATTTGCCTATAAGCCAAGTTTTCATGAATTATTGCTTTTCGACTACCTAACCTACCTAACCTAACCTAACCTAACTTTTCGGCTACCTAACCTAACCTAACCTATAAAGATAGGTTAGGTTAGGTTAGGTAGGGTTGGTTAGGTTCGGTCATATATCTACGTTAATTTTAACTCCAATAAAAAAAAATTCACCTCTTACATAATGAAATGGGTTGCTTTATCATTTCATAAGAAAAAAATTAGAGAAAATATATTATATCATGAAAACTTGGCTTATTAGGCAAATCGGGCCTGCATTGTAGGCTGAAAAAGTGAGTTCTGGCTACTAGGTACGACATATATATATATATATATATATATATATATATATATATATATATATATATATATTTATATATATATATATATATATATTATATATATATATATACAATATATATATATATATATTATATATATATATAAATATAAATATATATATATATATAAAAGTTTGTGAGGGTACCACCTCTGGTGCCAATGCGGGGACCCATAGCCTCGGAGAAGAAAATAAAAAGTATTCAGAGGAGACCTTGTGGTTTCTCACTGAACACTAATATTATCTTCTACCACCCCCATTCTTTTGTATGTACACATATATATTTACTTTATTTGAACTTTGTTACAAAAAGGAGTTACATATGGGTTACAAAGATGGTTATCATAGGTTGTCGAGTTCCTCCAGCTCCTCAGATGGCGGGCAGGAACCCTGGATGCAGTGCGCATTTCCCCTCTGTATCGCCACACTGAGGCGCTGGAAAAGAAAGCTTGCAGCTCTTGGGTCCCTTGTCGTTTCAATGAGCCTAGAACCCAGTTCCTTCAAAAAACTGGTAGCACTTTTACCCCAGGCGCCGAGTGTCTCAGAAGTGATATATATATATATATATATATATATATATATATATATATATATATATATATATATATATATATATATATATATATATATATATATATATATATATGTCGTACCTTGTAGCCAGAACGCACTTCTCAGTCTACTATGCAAGGCCCGATTTGCCTAATAAGCCAAGTTTTCATGAATTAATGGTTTTTCGACTACCTAACCTACCTAACCTAACCTAACCTAACTTTTTCGGCTACCTAACCTAACCTAACCTATAAAGATAGGTTAGGTTAGGTTAGGTAGGGTTGGTTAGGTTCGGTCAAATATCTACATTAATTTTAACTCCAAAAAAAAAATTGACCTCATACATAATTAAATAAGTAGCTTTATCATTTCATAAGAAAAAAATTTGGAAAAATATATTATTTCAGGAAAACTTGGCTTATTAGGCAAATCGGGCCTCGCATAGTAGGCTGAGAAGTGCGTTCTGGCTACTAGGTACGACATATATATATATATATATATGTCGTACCTAGTAGCCAGAACGCACTTCTGAGCCTACTATGCAAGGCCCGATTTGCCTAATAAGCCAAGTTTTCCTGAATTAATATATTTTCTCTAATTTTTTTCTTATGAAATGATAAAGCTACCCATTTCATTATGTATGAGGTCAATTTTTTGTTATTGGAATTAAAATTAACGTAGATATATGACCGAACCTAACCAACCCTACCTAACCTAACCTAACCTATCTCTATAGGTTAGGTTCGGTTAGGTAGCCGAAGAAAGTTAGGTTAGGTTAGGTTAGGTAGGTTAGGTAGTCGAAAAACAATTATTTCATGAAAACTTGGCTTATTAGGCAAATTTGGCCTTGTATAGTAGGCTGAGAAGTGCGTTCTGGCTACTAGGTACGACATATATATATATATATATATATATATATATATATATATATATATATATATATATATATATATATATATATATATATATATATATATATATATATATATATATATATATATATATATATATATATATATATCACTTCCGTCTTCAAATAATGTAATTTTACTCAATAAAAGACAAAGAACGTATGAATGGCTGAGGCACCAAGTGTCATCCTGTTAGTACAAAGTTGGAGAGCAGACGGTGTTGATCGGCCTTGGTCACTACCTCCTCTCCACGGTGAATTGTGAGTGCGTGGAGGAGTATCGTAGAGTGGTAGACCCCAGAGCCTCTCTTTCAGTAGGATTGACCCCTATTGCGACTAGCAACGATTTCTATGACGTCTGAAATGAGGGTTTGAT